GAAAGCCACGGTACTAGTTTGTGCGTAAAGGCTACAATAGCGGCACCTTAATCTGATATTTATTGACCGATAGAACGAGACTATACCAAGTGGTGACCTGGATTCATTACTCAAATGTGTTAGGTGTAAACACATCATTTTCATATCTCTACTATTATAAATAAAGCTGACGAGTTTATTTGAACGCCCTAATCTTAGGAAACACCAAGATTATAAACATTATTTTTGTATTAGAGCATTTATTGAGAAAGGCTTTAGCTATCAAACATGACGCGGCGACTAATAGGAGCGAAGAAACAGTGGGAAATGTTAAAAAAATAACCGGGGAAATTTTCAAAGAAGAAGATCGTTGATAGTTTCCCTTACGTACACTGTTATAGATACTTAAAAATATTAAGAAATAATAATTCCTTTTTAAATAATCTAAAATTTTCATGATCTACTAGCTATGAACCTAGGACTCGCGACTAATTCCAGACATCACGTTTAACAATTGCGCCAACAGTACACCTGAAAATTATTGGTAACAAATCGAAACTGACAATCGAAATAAACGAAGCCCTAAAATAACATCGTATTGAGCTTTTGGGCGTGAGCTTTTGACTGTTGGCGAATTGAAGACATGTTTGCACGCCTCCTATCAATGATCAATAATTCGGTTTGGCAGAGATTATCTTTTCATCGGAGCAATTTCTCTTCGGTCTTTTGTCGATAACATCGTAAAAACAACGGTTCATATCGTTATGCATAATTACTATGTTGGAATGAAATATTCGAACATTCATCCATTTTACAGTTTCGTTTGGATATTTTCTGGTGTGTTTGTAAGCTGTTCAGCTTCGTAATTATCAACGTGTACCTCTACGTGTGTCCGTGTGTAAACTGTGGAAATGTATTTTTAACATGTAGAATAGCTAAAAATTATACTACACAGCAAATATATAAGTATTATAAGCATGCTAATGCTAACAATAATAGATATAAAAATTGGTTTATATTTTCTGCTAATATAATAATATTTTCCAGTTTCAAACTATGTCAACCTTAAGCTACATGATCTACCAAGCTTCAAATTTAACGACACGTGCGAGACTTGAACCGGCACCCACAGCGTTCCGTGCCGTTACTCTAAAGAAATGATCTATCTAATAACAATTGAGCTATAATAATCTATAATTTTAGATAACAATAAAAGTATAGGTAAACAAACTTAAAGCACGTTAAAGGAGAACGCAGATAAATGCTACAAATAGAGACCAAATGCAATCACAAACAATTTTCGATCGACATTACTCGTTGGACATATTCCGGCAACACGATCCCGCAAACCGTGGGAATGCCCCAGTCAAGTAACGGACAGACGGACAAATGATGTTGGGCGATCTATTGCCTGTAATTGATGATGACTATTGTGTTGTACTTTTGAAAGAGGTACGGTGTTTGACTTTGTTCTATTACTTTATGCCCTTCTTTTTTATTTACCCGATAAAAAGTACAGGCGCAAAATTACCAACCAATGTGTCTTCCACTGATATCTGATTAAGAAAAGTCACAAATTATCTTAATTTAAATTAAGCTTACATAAATATAAGCATTTGATCAGACATATTTCCCTAGTAACAAGTGCTGACTGAATGGTTCACAGGTACTATCCTATATTCACTATCCTGTAAAAAGTCGCTTCGAGTTTTACGATGTAGGTAAGTAACTAAACATCGACGTATTTTTAATTGTTGCACTAATGTAGTGAATGGATAGCCCTCCCTTATTATTCTAAAAGCACCGCCGGACCGGTCACATCTATATGACGCAAAAAAAGGGATATTTTAACCCCCAGTGGATGTCGCTAAAAAACCTCTTGAAAGCCTTCGAGTGTTCTGTAACCGTCTCTGAGTCCCTACGCCAGTGTACGAAAAGTAATAACTGTAGTAAACTCAGGTGCTGCATGTGGCATGAGGCAGAAATATTTATTATTAGATAAGCGGATGTTCAGCCTTCCATAAGTTTTCTAAAGATTTGAACCCAGGATCTCTCGCGCATAACATAATAAGAACCTAACCAGTTTCCTAAGAAAACTGCGGGATGAGAAAGCGACCATCTGTAATCATGAACCGATAGACACTTCTCGCCGAGACAATTTCTTATTACGCAATTAAAATGGATCTCGAACACAACACAAAAACAACTTTTATAATTACATGTGCTTTCATTGAAGTGGTCGATTCAAAGTAAATAAATGCTGATAAATAAAGGATAGTACTGGTAGCTGGCGCCTACGATCGCTATCAGCAACATGAATCTGCTAAGTCGTCGCATAGCAGACCACCCCCATGGCACCGGATCTTAATTGCTGAATTCGTCAAAAAGAGAGCTAGGAATAAAATAAAAAATATAACATAATTATTGTAAGTAAGTACCTAAATTTAAATTCGTGTTCAGTAAAGTGGTAAACTTACTTTTGAAATAAACATTTTAACATACTTATTTATTTCTAATTTTTTTAATTTGTCGCTAAGTTATAATTATTATAATTCTTAATTTGTACGAAATTGCCCGTAAGTATTTATTTTACTACTGTTAATTTGTTTTTCAATTGTCAATAACATATCGTAATTATTATTTTGATTTGATTTTATTCTTAATTTGGACGAAATTAAATAAGTTTTACTCATATATTTCGCGTTTTAAACGGTTAAAGTATTTTTATTAAAATGTGTACTACTCAAAAATCAGACAGTATTTGGACAAATGTACCATACGTAACAATGTTAGATCAAGATTTCAAAATTTATTTTTAGTAACTTAATTTAGAAGTACATAAAACAAGATAATTTTTTTAAAGAACCTAATTACGATGACAAAATGTGCTTTTTTAACCTGCATACCAAGTTTACTATATATTTTAAATTGAGTTACCGAGTCACTTGGTAGAGCAACAGCACGGAAAGCTAACGATGCCGGTTCAAGTCCTGCCCGAGTCGAAAATTTTTTCAATTTATTTTCGATTTTTAAATTATATAGTACCTCATGAAAAATATTAATGTCAAAAGCTTACTAACTAAAAAATGGCTACAATTCCGTTACATTCACATCAAGTAGATAAAACTACGATATAAAGCACGACATAAAGACGTACGTACTAAAAACGAAAATTATATGCGATCAAATCTTGACGTAACTTGAATTTATTTCAATTAGTTCGATTCTTATTACCGATACCGATCGAGGAGTCAAAGTTATAAACACGATCCGATTGCCTCAGGCGGCCAACAGTGGTCATTAATTTCCGTCTGTAAATATTGGCTTTTGTTTTGCAATTTACCAATTCCCTTTTGAATCACTTATGAGTGAGGTTTTTATTTTATTGGTATGTCATTCGATTTTTTCAAAGATGTACGCATGCGCGGTATGTAAGACAATTACGGTTGTCAATAAATAATAACAATACATTTATTTTATGATTTTATTTTATTTTTGAATCAAAACAGCGAGGTTTTGTTTTGCATATCAATTACATGCACTGCCTACTACTGCGTTAACCGCCTCTTGGGTTCGAATCCTGGGCGAGTAAGATAAATAGGTGTAAATAAATAACTGTATTACACGATGATATGTGCTGTCTTTTCCTAATTCCCAATGTTTCTGTGCTACGATGAGTCGCAGTTTATTGTTTTAGCTTTCCCTAGATAAACCAACACAAAATCAATTTTTCAAATGGAGGCAGTACTTCCGATAGGCACTTTTAAACAAACAAACTCTGCAACCTTATAATATTTGCATAAATTTCAATTATACAGGACCAGTAAACTCCTCATTTACTTTTTGTGGAAAGATCTATCAAACGGAAAAAAAATTTAAGCTTTGTAAGGCTCTCAACTTATGATCTTGTTATTTTCATCCCAATTTCAACGTAAATGAGATAGGAATATAGTGAGTAGAGAAAACAACTAATTAAGAAAAGGCACTTTTATTTATCACAAGATCAAATTATAAAGCCGATATCATGTTATAATATAAAATTGGTTAACTAGATTTTTAAGTTTAAGAATAGGCTGTAGAATACATCAGTATGCCAACGGACTTTAATAACGCAAAACAAACAAAACCAATATTTAAGTGCTTTTGTAAATGAAATTCAATTATTAAAACGCAACTTAAATATTTGCAAATGATTTACTTATTAATAAATACTTCTAAATCTATATTATATTAAGCAAGGTTAAAACTTATTCGGCTAATAATAATGAATAGTATAAAAGTAAGTTTGAGATTCTTTTACTTATTCATACTATACATATAGATATATAATTATTTTTTCATTAATACTAGTTGTGTCTGCGACTTCGTCTGCGTAGGACTTTAGGCATCAAAATTTGTTTTTGGTAACCGCCTCATTTTTATAAATTATATCTGTCAACCACAACATCGTCCGCGTCCTGTCGTTTTTGCAAGTCAATCTTTAAACATAGACATAGTTTATTGCCGTACATTTTTTACATCATTCAAAGAGGAATCATTCTTTATTATTACATTTTGGGTAGATAATTTTCGCACGCAACGGCCTAAGAAATTTTCGCGTTTTTTTCATATCCATAGTTTCTGCGCTCCTATTGGTCCAAACCTTCCTCGATAAAGTAACCAAAATAAAAAATAAACGAACCTGTGGTTCTCGAGTTTAGCGCGTACAAACAAACAAACAAACTCTTCAGCTTTATAAATATTAGTTTAGATGAACACTACGCAATACTAAAGTAAACGCTCTACTCTAAACCTATTAGAAGTGACAAATTTCAGAAATGGTTCATGCCTGTGAAGCAATTAACCGCATGCGACTTGCCTTCTATGCTGGTGGAGCCAAAAAAATGACACAAAACAATATTTTCCTTCATCATATCCACTATAGTTTGAGACATAATTATGTATGCAGATAGCATTACTTTATTAATTATAATATCACATTTTTAGAGTATTGTAACAGTTGTAGCCGGCAATGTATAGCTTTATAGTTCATCGTGAGATTTTTTCGAACCGTAAATAAAACTTTGGAAGTCTTTCCTCTGACGCACGTGTGAAGCACATATGTCTACTAATCTCAGAAATTCCTTGACATCGAAGGAATAATTTGTAAATTTTGCATGGGACCCTCCACCAGGACCGTGACCCTGACAAATTAAACAAATATGACATTATATTGGGTGTTTCGTGGTTTGATTTGGTTATAATACTAAATCCATCCAGCGACGTTATCTGCCTAGAACATTTTTACGAATGATTGAAATTATAACTGGGTACATAATTACTAATTAGTGATTATTCACTTTATCGAATTATTCGTTCTTTCGCCGCCAGTTTTACCTAAAAGATCACGTGATGCTCCACAATATTGCCTGCAAGATTAACACCTTATTTTATAAAACACTAGCTGTGTCAGCGACTTCGTCCGCAATAATCGTTATTTTGAGCATCCTAATTGGTTTTTGAAAACCCCTTTATTTTTATAAACATAAACTGTTACCCACGACGTCGGTCGCGTCACTCCCATTCGTTCTTGCAAGCTTTTTTAAAAGATAGACATATCGTCGTCGCGGACTTATTTTTAGATAATTTAAAGAGGCAGCATTCTTTAATACTAATTCGGTTCATATAAGCACTGCAACAGCGACGCAACATATCGACAAAGATAAAAATATATTCCGCCAAGACATGGAGTTAGTGCGTTCTGAGATGGTAAAAGTGGCGGAGGAAATGACACTATTTCGCCAAGAGCTATCTCAGCTCAACAAGGTATCTATCCGGTTTAAACAAGCGATTCGAGGACATTGAAAGCCGTATGTCGTCGTTAGAAAACACTACCGAGGCTCGCATCAGTTCATTAGAAGCGAAGGTGTTAGATATGTTGGGAGTAGATTTCTGGAACCACTGCTCTTATGTGGACGCCGAGATAAATTATCGTGACCAAGAAGCTCTCCGTAACGACGTTGAGCTTGTAGGATTACAGAAAATAATAATGAATATCTAATCGATGTTAAGAAGTCTATCGCTGAGAGTCTGGGTGTCGATATATATTAACGCGACGTGTTTTTTTTCTGAAAGGATTGGGTCGCGATCTATTAGCTCAGACAACGAGAAGCCTCCTTCGGTTCGATTCGCGAGGCGGGCCCTTCGAGATGGTGTATTGCGATCAGCGCGAATTTTTCGACGAATTGGAAACGAAGAGGGCCGAGTTAAACCACTTCCCACAGGATGCTATTCAAATGAGCGCTTGACAAAATATAACCGCCACTTATTCTTCCGGACTCGCCAGGTGAAACGTGAAAAATAGAGATATGTGTGGACTAGAAATGGACAAGTCTTTGCTCGTCAAACGCCGACTTCTGCAAAACATACATTTATAAAACTCGAAGATGTTAGATTTATCTTCCCATAAAATAAATAATGGTGTAATAGGAATGTATTAATAGTAAGACACTCACTAAAAGTTAATGTATTAAATAAGTCATGATTTGCAATAATCCGTTGGTTTTGAATTTTTTTTTTTTTTAATGTATTATAGGATGAATGAATGTTATTAGTGTATTTTTTTATCACTTTTTTTGTGTTCCTTATTTAAGTAGAATATAATTTTGGTTGGAAAGGAAAACATAACTAAGCAAGTTTTATATGTTTATCATAGAAATGTAAATAAATCCTAATCCTAACTATATGTTTAACTAATAAAGAAACGAAAGTGCACGAATTGTAAGTAATCTATTTTGTTAAGCAATTATTTACACTATAAAATGTAATTTGGTTGTTGTTAAGTGTTTGTGTACAACGTACTTAATTCACACAATGTGAAACTATCTCGCTTGTGTCAGCTCGGTCTCTGAAGGGGCCACAGAATATCAGTGTTGGGACATTAGTCCCAACGAAGCTGAGTGGACTCCTTTTCGGAGGCAATTTTTATTTTTTTATTATTTTATATGTAATTAGTTATTTTTTTATTTTATTTGTATTGATTTTTTTATATATTATGTTTGTTAAATGTCTTGTGTTGTTTCCGAATAAACGTCTTCTATTAATTCTATTCTATTTTTTTCGTTTCAAGAACCGTTTTCGCAGCGTACGCGGAAACCAATTATGGTGAATAATATTACCAATATTTTCAGATTTCTCGCTGTATCATCGCTGGTATTAGTCACAGGGGATGTTTTATACCCTATAGCCTCCCTCGATAAATGCTCTAACCAACACAATTTTTTTCATTTCGAAAGTGTAGTTCCTGAGATTTGCGCGTTCCAACATACAAACAAACAAACTCTTCAGCTTTATATAGATAATAGATTCAAAACAATGAATTATGTGGTCTTACCATTATTGGCAACAACGATGTTAATAATTATCTTATTATAATGTGTTCAGTGTAACATTTATTTTATTTACTAGGAATAGAAATGGGGCAGTTTTGGAGGAAAAGACACGTAGAAATGGATACCTTACCTACCCTACTTAATTGTAGGGTAGGTAAGATGTATTAAAAATATTCAATCTCAATACTTCTGCCTCTATTTTCTACTATAAAGAAAGTAATAATTAAAAACTAAGTAATATGACTGTACTTACTTCGTCCTGCTGCACTAGCTTAGATTTGTCCATCCATGTCACGTACTTAAGACCCCGAAGTCTTGACAAATCCGAGTAGCAATTGGGGTCTTCGCAATTATAACTAAAAATTAAAAACCTCTATAAAAGCTTAGAGAATGGATTATATAGCATGTTGATGTTACTAATTGAAGCGGACAACTAAAGATATAATGTAGGAGGGGAGGAAATTATTCCTACCACGGTCCGCAAATGGATAGTATATCTTTCCTCTAAGGCTGGGGTACTATAGAGTTGGAAATTGTAATTGTTCTAATTCAACTTTATTTACATATTTGTATACATAGTTGACCAGAATATATAGTTAGTGTATTTTTTTTTTAATAAAGAGAAGGACAAAAAAGCACTTGAGAGGAGATGAAATACCCCAGCTATATACATCTAAGCAAGATCTGGCTTTGGATACCCGGAAATCCACCAATTGAACCGATACTGCCACCCATTTACTATCCAGATTTCCAGATAGGTGTTAGATGTTTTTAGAAATATTTTAAAAATTAGAAACATTAGATCCAGTGGGAATCAAACCCACGGCCTGTTGATTTTGAGCCATTTTCATATTGCTACCATTAGTGATTAGACCAACAAGCCCATATAAATGTAATGTGAAATAAAATAAACCAACTCACACTTCAAAAACTGCTGCCCAGTCAGGTAGGAACATTAAATGAGTCAAGCCAGCTCCATGCATGCTTATGAACACATCTGTATTATGTGTTATCTCTAGTTGCTCGATGAATGGCATTTTTCTGTCATACACAACTCGCTGCACATGATACCCCTTGACCTTTAGCAATGCCTTTACTATTTCTTGCTCGTTTAAAATACTTCTATAAGTAGTGCCTCTTGATAACAATGTAACCCTCACTTTGTCATTATCACGAACATGGAGAGGAATCTTCAAGGAATGCAAAATATGCTTGGAAAAAGCATGGAACAACCCACTTCTTTCACAGCCATATATCTGAAACATTTTATTGTGTGTCAGCAGTTTACGAGAAAGGAATAATTATGTTATGTGAGTGACACTTACCACAGGAGTGTTGTAATACAGTCCAAATATCATGCGTGGTAAAAGCGGAAAGACAACATTTTTGAAACACACAGTTTTTCCACGGAATTGTTTCAAATCCCATATAGGATTTACTGTAAATGCTTTAAATGTGTCTTTAAAAGCAGACTCATAGGTGAATGTCTCCCATATAAGAATGTGATTGTCTCTGGAGAATGTCGCTGGATGAGTTGAGTTGACGTGCAGTGAAGCATACAAATTAAAGAAATCACAGAAATGATGATACATGTTCACCGCTGAAAATACAAATATTCTCTATATAGAATAAATTTACTGAAAATGATTATTAGTTTAAACAAGTTAGTAATAATACTTTGGTAGTACGTTTTTATAATTATTAATTATCAACATGACAAAATTATCAATATTTTATTATCAAATGAATCATTTAAAGACCAAAAGTTCTGTCCATTTTATGTGTCTATTATAGCTTTTAAACATTATGGCCGCAACATTGCTTTGGCTTTTAAATTTGAGAAGAGTACACCTGTGCTGATTGATAAATGGGCACAAGGTACATAGAAAACCTTTTATCTCATTTCATTTAACTTATATATATTAAGTTTTTTCTACCATTCCTTCAAAGTAATAGTAGTGCACAAACATTTCAGAGTCCTTTTTTGTTATGTAATGTGACCTATACTTAATGTAAAATGAAATTAACTTTATCTACTGACTTGCATCTAATTTCATTATGTAGGTTGGTTTTTCAATAACCACATCACATTTTGCATCAGCGATTGGTCTCTCAGCGGTTTTAACAAAATTGACCAACTCAGGGCCCCATGATTGTAGCGCGCTCATGTGCTCAGTTTCCTTCATCAATCTTTCGGAATAGAAATTGCAATGACCACCTGAAAAAGATATAATAAGAAAATATATATTATATTGAATTAATTATCAATATGCTTTTGTGCATTTTTCCATTTACTTAGAATTAAGAAAAAATATAAAATTAAATTTACTTTCCCCTTTAAATTGTTTAAGTTTCCTTAATATTTGTGCAAAGCAATCATAGCATAATAAAACTTTACCAATTTGTCCAGGGCCTAGGATATCCGTTTTGTATCTTAAGTTGTCTCCCCGTCCTTCAAGTCCTGTAAAATTTAGCATAAGATTTCGTCCTCTACAGAACCTGAAATTATTAAATACCACAGCTAAAACTTTTTTTTACTGTTTTAAGAAAAAGTCATTTTCTTAAAAAAAAGGTAATTAAGCTTGCCTTATTTATATTCAATATACCTATAGGTATAAACAAAGTTACAGCAAGAGAAATATATATATTTTTTTATTGTTATTTTAGAAACTTACCTTAAATATTTTGAGCATTCCAAAGAGCTATCTTCAATTAAAGAAGCTTCACACATCACCATAAGTTCTTCAATTTGTTCCTTTATATATCCTTTAAGAAAAATGAAAGGGAATATCGTTATTTATTACAAATCGTCGGCATAATGGAACAAGTTATTTCCCTAATACTTACCAAAATCGGCTTGAGTGTAAAAAGTGTCGTACTGAGCCTGTTTTGTTTTCACCCAACCTTTATGATCACCAGGACATCGCGGTCGCACATGATAGGAAATATTTTTATAGCAATCACTGAGTTCATACCCCCAGCAGACTCTCTTATTTAACGAAGATTTAAATTTACAGTTTTGGTCTTTAGAACAGAAATCGGCAAATGCAGGGAAGGAATGTAAAAAATAAGGCATATGATCTGGAGGTAAGTTAATGTCGTCTAACTTAAGTGAAAATGAAAAACTAGTTAAAACTAACAATGATAAAGCTGAAATCTGTTTCAAAAAAGCCATTTTCCGGTAAGTTAAAACCTTTTGAGGCGATTTAAAAATGTAACGTCATAAATCTTAAAGTTTGTGCCTTTGCAACGTTGGTTACAGCCGGTTTTCATGGTTTTGTTTGTTTTGCTAGATAATCACAGATGTAGACGTTAATGTTTTAGTATTCATAGATAAAATTCAACTATTTCATGCATAGATGAGACCATAGTGACTTTGTTGTCACAGACGTGTAAAGTTCTTCTTCTTTCTAGTTTAATTGGCTTTACATTCTTATTGGATGTTGTGTATTTGTGGGAGGAATTTGTGAGGAATACCTGTTTTAAACTCCTCTGGCAATAAGAAAAATCCCGATACGCTTGGCGATATCACGAATGATGTAAGCAACTCAACGTGTAAAGTTCTTCTTCTTTCTAGTTTAATTGGCTTTACATTCTTATTGGATGTTGTGTATTTGTGGGAGGAATTTGTGAGGAATACCTGTTTTAAACTCTTCTGGCAATAAGAAAAATCACGATACGCTTGGCGATATCACGAATGATGTAAGCAACTCACAGATACTTAGTTGTAGCTAGGTAGTCATACGCACAGATGTAGTAATGAAACTAAAGTTGTATGTTTGCTTTGAAGCGCGATAGATGTCTCTGTTTACTCGTGCAAAGTTGCGCGCGACCGCGTCATGTTGTCATTAAATCAGCTGTTATATCAAGATATTGAGACTGGCGCCACTTTGAATTGTCATCAAATCTTCAATGGGTATTGGGGAGGCAAAGGTATACTCCAAGTTTTTAAGTGCCGAGTGTAAACTTTTGCATACGATATTTGAGGTAATAAAATGGCTACATTTTACATTATTTACTAAGGTTTCCGAATTAATTCTATTTAATGTTCAAACTAAAGTTAAAGGCGGGCTAAGCACTCGTTTTTCTGACCTTCGAAATTGTCGCCATTTTGACCACGCAAGTTTAATTTTTTGTAAAATAAATTAACTTTTTTTTTTAAATGCATCCCAATATGCATAACTGAATGTTGTTTAAAGAGATACAATACAAGAACATCACTATAAAGTAGATTGAGAAATTCTTCCACGCTTGACGCTACAATCAATGTTTGGTACACGATGCCGCCAAATTATTGAAGTTTACCAATTTCGAAATTTGTCAACATAATATGCATCTTTCCTTAACTGAAAAGCTAAATAAAACCTGATTAGAAGAAACTAAAATAAAACAGGTAAATTTAGGTCACTGGGTAAATATCAGTAGGAGAGTTTTACACCAATGGTATTTTAATCAAATCAAAAAACGTTACACTTATAAACGTGAATATAATTTAAGTTAAAAATATGATTCTGAATCAACAATTACTATCAGGTCCCAGGTAAGGGGTGTAAAACGAATGTGTAGAACTACTAAGAAATTCTACACCACTCTTTATAAAATAGAAACCTGCAATGATATATTTTCATCTATTTATAACATAAAATGACGAAAATAGTGTTATTTTCATAAAAAAATATTGCATTAATTTCTAGATTCTTTTATTAAATTACGAATTAGAGTTATCATAAGAGCTGTTCCAAAATAATTGCTTAATTCATATATAAAATTGTAGATCATAATATATTCTAGTTAGTATTTAAGGTGAAAAAAGGGTGCATATAAAAACAGGTCTCTCTTTAACATATTCAAAGACATCTACATTAAGAAGTTGAGGTGTTGTTAATGAATACCTATTAATTTATACAAATAAAATATAACTCAATGATTTAACTTGCCAAAAACATTGAGTTAAACCTTTGATTTCCGAAATATAAATTCTTACACTATTTATTGATTTCTGAAAAGTTCTGTGTACATATTATTAATTATTTGTAATTAGATTATTATTGAAAATTATCTTTTCAACAGCAAATATCTTTCAATTGTTGTCTGGGCCTTTATAAGAGAGAGAAGTTAAGTCTGGCTGTTTCAACCAGTGCTTAAAACTAGATCAAGTAAATAACTTGCAGTTCACTTGAGAGAACTTCTATTATGTCTTCACGGAGAAGGCATGACTCAGACAATGACCCACCTGCTGAATAGTTAGTAAACATTTAATAAGATGGAAGTATTTATTTTTGAGTTAACTGCATTAATCAAATATTTAATAAAATGTTACAGCACCACAAAACGGCGTAAGCATGCTGACAAAGTTGGCAAGGGATTGAGACATTTTTCAATGAAAGTTTGTGAAAAAGTGAGAAACAAGGGTTTTACATCATATAATGAAGTGGCAGATGAGTTAGTTCTGGAGTTTGCAACTGGAATACATGGATCCTCTGACAGCCAAGTATGTTACAGATTGATAATCAATAAGAAACACTATTGGGTGACAATAATGCCTTGCCAGTTACTGTCTTATTACATACACATGGAAACATACAAGCATTCATTTGGAATCATATTACTACTACTATTATATACACACAGATATTATTTGAACTTTCCTTTTTCTTCATATCGTAACTTATAAAATGTCTATGTTCCTACAGAGCAGCATTAGTATTATTACTAATAATAATACAACACACTGATGCGATTTAAGAATATATCAATATATATTCTTAAATCGCATCAGTGATATTTTTTCAAACAATCTATTGAGATTGTTTGAAAAAATATCATTATTGTTAATAAGCTTTGGCACATTGTCTAGTAAATTGATAAGATGTAATCATCACCAACAACCAACGGTTACAAAAATTTTGATAAAAATTAGCTTTTTGGTGGAATGCTGTGTTAAAATGTAATACAGAGAAACTCAACATTTCAGCAATATGACCAAAAGAACATCCGGCGGAGAGTGTATGATGCTTTAAATGTGCTAATGGCAATGAATATAATTTCCAAAGACAAAAAAGAAATCAGGTGGCTGGGACTCCCTACAAATTCATTGCAAGAATGTACAGCTCTTGAAAAGGAGAAGCAAGTTAAAATAGAACAGATTGAAAAGAAAACACAGCAATTACAAGAACGCATATTGCAGGTATGCATATAAAGTCTATATTAATCTGAGTGTGCTCCACTCAGATTAAAAAATTAAAAGTTGCTTTGTAAATGCTGGTTAGGATGTTTCTTTATTGAAGTTTGCTGTATTAAAAAATGATCCTTAGTTTATATATTTAAAGGTCTACTTAGTTTTGTAAGATTATATTCTACAAATAATTTGGATTTCTATTTTGTAATAAGTCTTATCTCTCATTATGTAACTGATGTAAATGTATATATGTTTTAAAAATTAACCCTGTTTGAAATAAATTTTTCAGCATATATCATTTAAAAGCTTGATAGACAGAAATAAGGAAGCAGAAAGTAGAGGCATGAAACCTTCTCCCTCATCGGCTATACGCTTACCGTTTATCGTTGTAAATACAAGCGACAAGGCTCTTATCAACTGCAGCATTTCAAATGACAAGTAAGATATTATTTTATATTTCATTGCAAACATATTCAACATTAGGACATTTTCATTGAATAAATAAGGCACAGCTGGGTATTTAATCCAGTAAACAATTAGTTTTTGCCTTATGACCTATGGTCTATAATTTATTGATATTAATTTCTTGTTAATTCCAGGACAGAATATGTGTTTAATTTTAACAAGCGATTCCAAATTCATGATGACATAGACATTTTAAAAAGAATGGGTTTATTGTTTGGTATGTATCTATCTTTATGTCTAATGATAATACAAAAGATTAGTTACAATATATTGTAGCAGATAAAAAACATTTCAACTACCCTTTTTTATAATATGTATAAATGAGATTGCATTTTCTGACAGTTTGTAATTAGGGAAGTGTGTCATGTAAACATCAATTCTATACTTTGACACTAATTATGAAAATTAACCACTTGTTTTAAAGTACGTGCGTTCTGTTCTTCTATAATAATTTATTTCAAAACCATTTACAGGTTTAGATAAAGGAGAATGTTCAGAGGAAGACATAGAAAAGGCCAAAAGTATGGTACCAAAATCTTTGGAATGTTATGTTGAACGTAAGTAAATTAATTTACACTTATCTAGACATTTCTTTAAGTTAAGAGAGTTTGGACAAAAAGTGTAGCAGAATATCGACTTATGATTGTAACTAAATTTTTTATTTTATTTTTATACTTATATTTACACTTGAAAACAATGAATTTCAATAATTTAAAACCTAAAAATCTCGGTTACTAAGAATGATACTTTAATTAAATAATTTGTAATTATTAAATAATGCATAAATAGAAACATAACTAAAAGTAACCGACGTTTTGAACGACTGTGTTTGATTTTACTTTTATTCCAATCTGTCATTTAAGAGGGATTTATACAAAACATTTTCATACTGTTCAATTATTATTATTCATCCTGTAATAATCTTAAGAATGGACCAGATATATCACGGTATTGAAAACCAGCCTCGTTCAAATAGTTCTCCGATGTTACAAAGAAACTACCTAAAATCCACGTAGAGCACGAATACGCAGAACTAATCATACCACGAGACTATCGCACTTGATGAACACTATGCTTTAGGATCTCTTTCTTATTGGAACTTAGTTTTATAAACACTGACAGTAACATAAGCACATGAAAAGTAAACTAACCTTTAACCATTTAGATCTGCAAATCGTCTCAAATTAGTGTGTGGCCATTAAATCAAAATATTTTCAATTGTACCATTAAAGGTTGGTCAAAAGTAATATGTATGACAAATCAAAATTTATTCAAGAAATCACAGAAAAGGTCTTCTTGGTTTTCGAGATTTATATTATTTTTAAGTGACCAAAAGTCATTGCTTTCGATTGTCAGTAATTAATTATATAATAGTTTATATTCAAAATACTTTGGAGGTGCCTAACCACATAATAAGAATAACTATGATACCTACATTTTCTGGAATTCAAATGAATGCCGAGTTATTCAGATTTTTAAGGGAAATAAAAATTAGGAACCCATTCTTACTTCCCTTTTTCTGGGTATTGCCTGCTGCTTGATATGCACATTATATACCTGCATTATTATCATATTATGTTTGGCACTATATTGAAATCTATTAACAAGACTTTTAATGAAAGACTGATTTTTATCCCTTCATGCTATTTTTTGATAATATTTTTATCTATACTAATATATAAAGCTGTAGAGTTTGTTTGTTTGAACGCACTAATCTCAGGAACTACTAGGGTTCGAATTAAAAAAAACTTTTTTTGTTAGTTATAGCATTTATGGAGGAAGGCTATAGGCTATAAAAGATCACGCTGTGACTATTAGAAGCGAAAATACAACGAAAAAATTTTCATCTCTGTGGGTTTCTGATGCGCACGCTGCGAAAACGGTTTAACACACCCAAAAAATATGTGTGGAGGAATGATACCTCCTACCTATGTGTTTATCTTTTAAGATTAACTTGCAAAACGGCGGGACGCGACCGATGTCGTTGGCAGCTTAAATGTATAAAGATGTAGACTGTAGAGGGTAGCAAAAACAAAATATTCTACGCGGATAAGTCGCTGACACAGCTAGTTATATGTATATACACATATTGCATTAACATGAGGAAACTACATAACTTCAAATGAAACAAAAGTATGTGATTTATTTTTTCTTTTCAGAAATGGCTCGGGGCCTCAGCAATAATTTAAGTGATATAATCAATGATGACTATTTAGAAGAAGGTGTTGAAGATGAGACTTTAGGAGAAGCAGAAGTGGAAGACGAACAGGATGCTGAAATAAATGAATATAGCGAAGACAGTAGTGATGTTGATGTATAACACATTTTTACATCTGTTTATAGTACCAAATAGAGTTAATGGTAACTAATTTTAACCTTATCTAGAATATGCATACATACTTGTCTTACCTCAAAGATTGTTTAATATTTCTTTTTTAAAGTTAAAACAACACAGTTGCCCTAAATGTAACCATAATATCTTAAGACGTTATATTTGTTGCAAATGTTTCGACCTTGCCAATGCTTTGAATTAAATAATTTGAATAAATTAAAATTTCTTTGATTCTCAAAGAAATATTTTGATTTAGTAAAAGGTTAATCAAAACATCTTGGTTCCATCTAAATTGAAATTTAGTTATTAATCGCGCACAACTATGCTGATGGAATACATGTATGTATTTATATATTAGTATATAGAATTTTAGCTTGTCTGTTTTTTATATGAAAAGAAAATGTGTCCAACCTAATTTAAATAATAAACACATACAGTCCTTGATTTAAACTATATAAAATAAGATATTTATAAGAGACATATTTTGTAATTATTACAACTTACAATTTGACTATCGAGACTTACTAGTTGTTATATTTATAAGTTGATTTTATGTTACATTCTGAGACGTTTTTTTTGTTTAATGTTTACATTACTAATAAGGAACTCCCAAAACGCATGTCACTACATTTGTAATTTTAATTTTATAGCCAGGGAACAAGAACAAATTGAAAGAAGGCTTTCTTAGCTTGGAATAAAAACAAATATCAAGTAACAATTTAGATCTAGACCAGGTAAGACTAGTAAGACATATTATTTTTGGAGTTGTAATGCAGTTGTAAATAAAAGTATTTCACATACATAATAGATTTTTATTCTTATTTGGTTATATGCCCTTATTTGTGGTATTGTTTTCACATTTGTAACACAGCATATGGGTAAACAGAAATTATTTAAACTAGACAAATAGGCACCTTTATTATTTCACATCATCATCGTCAAATAAGTCCTCAAAATCTGCAAAAAGAAAACATTTTTAATACCAGAAATTGCAGCCTTACAAAAGACAGCTTATAATGAATAGAGTTTCTCAAGTACTATAAACAAAAAACCATACCATTAAAAAAATCCCCATGCACAGCTTTTTCATTTGCAGCCAAATCCATTAACAAGTTTGAAGGTCCACCAGCCTGCAATATTAAATATATTTAATGAGTTCCTAGTTATACATCAACAGAAGAAGAACTCGGTAGCTTGCTTAAATTATTATCCTGTATAAAACATGGTGTATCAGTTCATTTGTAATGCACAGAAGGCTTGAATTATTTCAAAAACCCTATTCTGCAGGGCCTTTTAATTTTAATGGAATAATTTTAAAAGAGAGGAAGGAAATCTTTGTCTTAATAATTGTAATATTTAATTAATTCAGCGTTTACATACTTCTTCAAGATCCATGTAAGGTCCAACACCTTCAGGGAACATTTCATCAGCTGCTACGGTGGGTTTCATCTTTTGTTTCATGTACTGGTATAAGTTTTAACAAGTTTACTTATGTACTTATATTGACTTGATATATTTAACACTAGTCCTCAGTCGACAGTCTCCAAACGTTTAAATAAATAAACCAAATAGGCATGAAATGTTTTTATATGGCAATTTTTTTTTTGTTACAATATAATTATCACAGTATGGTGTATGTTTTAATCAAAATCATTGCTTTGTCTTATACCAATCGTTAATCAAGTGCCAATTTTTATTACAGTTTTTGTACTTTTATATTACAGACATAAATTTGTTATTTGTGCTTAATAGATCGCTATAGAGAGAGACCAAACTACAGATTGATTATTATTTTTTTATCACGTCACAGATTATATTGCTAAAACTTCTATGCCCAGTCTTAACTCCTTTCAAATAAATGTCATTCGTCTGTGGTAATAGTATTGTGTGGGAATAACCTCTAAATTTTTCAAGTTTGTTTATAAATTATTATAATTAAAGTAAAAATATTTGTAACTCTACTGATTACTTCAAGGCTTCTAGAACAGTTGCTATTTCCAACGACACTATAAAAACCAATGTTAATTTTATTATAGTATAATTAAGTATGTTGCGCTAAATGAATATCATTATTTCTGTTATAAAATAATCATGTTGATTTATGAGAACAAACTTGTTCTCGCACCCATGGTGCGTATCGGAACTTTACCAATGCGAATATTGGCTCTTCGTTATGGGGCCGATATAGTTTATTCTGAAGAACTAATTGATTGGAAATTTTTGCGATCAAGGAGAAAATATAACGGTATTTGTAGTAAATATAATTAAACACCATTAAATGCATTGAAACTATATCTAATTTTAACTCATATATCTTTTAGAAATATTAAAAACAATTGATTACATTGATCAGACTGATGGCACCATTGTGTTTCGCACGAATGAAGAAGAACATGGAAAAGTGGTGCTTCAACTTGGGACCTGTGATTCTGAAAGAGCTCTTAAAGTGGCCAAAATGATGTATGTTTTGGATCATTTGTTATTAATATGTTCAATAACTTTAAAACTTTAAAAAAATCATATGTTTTAGAGAAAATGACGTAGCTGGTATAGATATTAATATGGGTTGTCCTAAAGAGTTTTCTATTAAAGGTGGAATGGGCGTTGCACTACTGGAACAACCAGACAAGGCTTTTAAAATTTTAAATACACTTGTTAAAAATTTGTCAATACCAGTGACATGTAAAATAAGAATACTTGACACACCTGAGGCCACACTAAGACTTGTCGAGAAATTGGTCAGTTCAGGAATTAGAGCCATCACTATTCATGGAAGAACTAGACATGAGAGACCACAACATCCTGTAAACACAGACACTATTAAATATGTTGCATCCAGAATATCTATACCAGTCATAGCAAAGTAAGTAACTTTTTAATTTGTAGTTTTATCCTTATAATGTCTTCATGTACAAGCATATTTAACCCTTTTTAGCGGTGGTTCTAAAGAAATTGAAAAGTATAGTGATATATTTAAGTTCAAGGAAATGACAGGTTCCTCCAGCGTTATGATTGCTAGAGCTGCAGAATGGAATTGTTCCATATTTAGAAAGGAAGGTTTATTGCCAATGGATACAGTGATTACAGAATATTTGAAGCTTGCTGTAGATTTTGATAATTCACCATCAAACACAAAATACTGTGTTCAAAACGTTCTTAGAGAACTACAAGATACGCCCAGAGGGAGAAAGTTTTTAGACTGCCAAACCCTTGAACAAATCTGGTAAGCATTTGTAGTAATCATATTTTTTATAAACATCATTTGAAATGGTTATTCTTGAAGTTACTACTAGTACTACAATAATCTTATAATGGTAGAAACTGACAGCTCACCATAAGTACCTAAGTAGTTTGTAGTACCTATTAAGAGAAACAGTAAATATTTTTTTTATCTAAATAGATAAAAAAAATTATCTAAGTGTACATTATAAAAATTTACTGTGTTATAGTTATAATTTTTGAGGCATCTATTTAATACCTAAAAGGGCTGAATAGAGACTTTTTTTATAGTGCAATTTGGGAGTTAAATGATTACTGTAGAGAAAAGCAAAAATTGTATCAAACTTTGGGCATAAGTGGTAGATGGCAAGTAAATCCTGATGAATTACAGCCTCCAAATAAAAGATTTAAACCAGAGGATGATCTAACTGAAGTGGAAGAAATGAAGGTAAGTCATTCCTACACCTGCATTGGTACTTCACAGAAAGTAAAACACTAGTGTGAATTAATTAAACAATAAGTTCAGTTCTAATTATTGACTACACAGTATTAGAAATATTTTTAATAAAATTGTATATATGTTTGTTTTAGGTATGCTTTATAAGGGCTAATTATACACACTTAACATTACCAAAGACCGAGCTTCACAGTTGGGCTGGAAAAAATGGTTACAAGTTACCAATATATGAAACGAAACAAGTTGAAAAGCTATTTCGAACATTATTAACATTTAATGGCAAAAAATATACATCTTCTTTTTGGGAAAAGAACAAGAAGTTTGCAGAACAGGGTGCTGCCTTAGTCTGTTTATATAATTTGGGACTTAAAACTAAAGAAGATTTGGTAGCGCTTGGAAGCGTAATAAAATGACTGTGATGTTTGAAAACTTTCTTTAAACCTGATTTTTTATCTGCTGCCTCTTCATTTTTTCTACACTATTCATCAATTCTGTATTCAAAGTTTCAAGCTCATTATTTAAATTTACGTGGTTAATTAAATTGACACGTAACATTTTTAGTTGTGAATAGCAGTGAAAAGCCTCTTGAACAGAATCATCGGTGAACGTTAGTTGAATGGGTTCGCTTGATTGAATAATTCCGGAATTTGAGATGTCTTCTAAAATATTATGCAGTGATGGCAAATTAGGTACTGAATGTTTATTATTTTCCATTGTTCTTTTTATTTTCTTAAACCATTAGGTGCAATGAATTGATCAAATATCTGAAACAGATTATGTGCACACACTATTGCACGATTTCAATGTGGTTATACCATAGATTAAACTATATTGTTAAGTGTAAAAAATCATACCACAGACTGTGCATTATATGCACAGACTATATTTTGTAAATACTTCATAGGCTACATTTATCATAGACCATTCAAATTTCAAAGACTAAATCTATTTAACATTACATTTAGTATGTATTAATAGAAAGTAGTAACTTGGGCTCAGATGACTATTATTTGCAGCCCCGTAATATCCATGTATGTATAATTACTATTACTTTGAGCATAATTATTGAAAACTAAACCTAGGTCTAATGAAATTGTTTGGTATTACCTAAGTATTGCAAAAAATAGAGTAATATCCATTGAAAGTATTTTGTATTACATTAGGTTGTAATGTAAAACGTCTTCTAAGAAACAAAAGAAGGTCTACATAAAATGAGCTAAACTCGTGAAACTAAGGATGTGGCCGCGGTTGAGACGGGAAACCGCAAACTATCCACCTAAATAACTTTGACGTTGCACAACAACGTTTTTAAAATTGCTCATTTCTTGCCTCGTATTGTTCTGATGTAACAATTCATTAATTGTTATACCAATGCACAGTGCACTTTATAGTTAAGGAGCCTTAGTTTTACTTTAAATCTCGTTAATGTGCGTGTAAGGTATGGATTTATACCTGAAAATAGAGGATTTAAGAAAAAAGTAGGTACTTTTTAGCTACAGATCTCAAAGTAGTGCTAAGTACTAAATGTCATGTCAGCATAGAGTAGTGTCTAATTTAGTTATTCTGTATAACAAATACTGTTCAAAATCAATTATAACTCTTTTCGTTGTTGTTTCACAACTCAGTGAAAATAATACATTGTTATTTTATATCTATATCTACATAGGTACTTCGATTATAGCAAAACGCTTAAACGGTTCTTCGAATTTACATTGTAATATTCGAGAGAAACCAAAAATGGTAACCACAATATTTTATGGCAACGGAGAAATGTAGGTAGGTACGTAATTTTTATTTCTACCTCATTTGAAGCTTCAACCGCAAAAGCTGTTATACAAAATATAACTAGCCATAGTAACTATAACTATTCTTACTTGTAAAAGGTCAATGTATTACTTTATATGCGCATAATGCACGTATAATAAATTGATATGATGAATAAAGTTCGTATCAAGTGTTACACAAACTTGATTGTTTTCTATGCCTATATAACTGTAGCGGAAATGAAAATCGATAATAGCAGAGATTGAAAGAGTATCTTATTTTTTGAACTCGTTATAATTACGAATTTCTGCACCGGCATATTTTATGGACAAGTTTGTGTTGCCATAGATGGCGTTTAAACAAAGAATTAACGTATCGGGTTCTCTGTAAAGCATTACTAATGCATAATATTGAAATGACAGCAATGTGACACTGCCTTGCGCCCGGTATCTATTGTTATTATATCAATCAACACTGCGATCTACACAAAGCGCATGTCGCATCTCATTTAAAGCAGTGGGCATAGGCAATAGGGTGATAATAATTTTAAAATGTCTGATTCAACTTATGTAAAAGTAAAATATGTGTCCTTATTTAAAAGCGTTTTAGCATCAAATTTCATAGCCAACGGCTGATGAGCCAGTAGACATCTTAAGTGTTAAAATATATACCGACTCACCAATTTTTGTTTATCATAAATGTTAAAAATATACTTACCTAGTTTTACGTTTTTTTATTTATAAAGTATCGATCCCCAAACTAATAATTCTGCGCTTCGTAGTCTTACAAATTAAAATATTGTAATGTTTTTGCACTAAATTTAAAAATCTATTGATGGAATTATCATGTTTATTAGATGGGTTGCATTCAAGGGATGTTAATGATTATTATTTAAAACGGCTGTTTTAGGTGCGTGCCTGATCATAATCGACGTATCTCACAAATAAATCGAGCTTTATGTAGAGAAACAAAGGGGTTTAAGTGATTAGGCCTAAATAAGGGCGCGCGTGCCGAGAACGCGACATCTCTATACATGTGGGTGGCTTTGAGTTGACACTCGAGGAATAAATTGAAGAAGGAATTTTTATATCTGTGTGGCGTACGATTTATAACTAAAATTCTTGCCATCTCTTATTTTTCTGTGTTTTTGTATTTTCCAAGCGGCAAATCATTAGCTACCTAAAAATATTTTTTCACAAAAGCACGCATTTAACAAAAACATTAAATACTAATTATTCGAACAAGTTGCTGTCGCTAAAATTTAAACATGAACGTGAAACAAAACTGATTGCTGAAAAAGTTCACTCATACACAATATTTATCAATTACAGTAAAGAAAAGTGGAATATTTATGAACAAAAACAAATAAATAGTTGGTTTAATAGAACTCTGGCCAAATTTTTCTCTATGGTATCACAATTCTTTTAAATATTTATTTTGTATTTTTATAATGTTGAGTAACTTATTAAATTAAAAAAAATAATGTTCACCATATAAGTACCAAATTCTTAAAATATCAAGCGTAGAATGAAATAAATCCATTGAAGAACAGAATGATATATTGGTACGAGGATACGTTCCAACTGCTCGAGTTGTTGTAGTAATTTACGACCGAGCCCTAACACGGCAAATACATTTGTTAATAGACACATTAGCCGTTAAATGCGCCTGCGTCGCTCCTCTCTTAATTGTCGACATATTGTCATGCCTGCAGATTGTTTGTATCTACTTCAAATTCCGGCTTGTTAAGCGAGTGGGTAATTTATTTCCGTAGTCCGACGATTCTTCTGTTTACTGTCACTCCTTTAGAGTTTTAGAGAGGTTTAGAGTGTGTTGTAGAAAAATGGATTTGCATTAGAATTAAATAAATTTTATTAAGATCAAGAAAAAATAATATGCAGGGCAAAACTTTAACGTTTTATTGCTTTTTTTATAAAAAAATAAGTACTTACTTATACTTCTGGCGAAAGTATTTATTCACGTAGACAAAAGTAAGTATCAAATATCTAGGCACATACAACGAAACGATTTAAGACCTTTACATGCGTACGTTTTATGAGTTGACAATTTAAAAAGTTATACGTGATAAGATTATGTTATGCGCATGACTAAGACGTAAATTACACGGCAAAACCTGCGTCCTTAACCTCATACTCATTGGCACAGGTATTGTCTCGGAAAAAGTCATGCCAACATTGTTTGAAAGAAATTCAGTGTTCCAACCTTGAACACGCCTGTTTGTTGCATTGATATTAAACAAAAACAACATATTACACATTGTGTTGACAAATGAGTGCTTACATAATATGAAAGTATCAATCTGCAACAACAAATAATTATATCTAAATTTTTGCACTCCAGAACTTTCCATTTAAAAAACGAAGATGATTTCTTCAGCATATCTATTGAACAACGAGTTATTACTATTATTTTTGTTACCCTATGTTTTTAGCTTTATCATCACTATCACTACATAGTATAAAACAAAGTCGCTTTTTCTGTCCCTATGTACATTTAAATCTTTAAAACTACGTAGTTTGATGCGGTTATTTTTTTTAATAGATAGAGTAATTCAAGAGGAAGGTGTTTATATACAACGCTCAAAGTTTTTCTGTACTGTATTTAGGGCGGGTCGCTAGTAAATATAATTTATTAAAAATCATGTAAACGTAGGCTCTTACTATGGACACATATAGGCAAATGTTTAGTAATATAGTTTGAATAAATATTGAGTGACAGAACAAAGGTCCTGGTGCAATTAGCGTAATGGCAACGTATGGTTTGTTTAGTATTGTTTTAGTGTTTTGAATACGTCACTAACGAGGTTCAAGTGGCGTGTGCACCACGGGCCACCGCCTCCTCCACTCCTAACCCTTTGTTTTACTCTTTCATATCTCCCTTGTAGAGCCACTGTGAATTATTCGTTAAATAATAGCATAACTTAACTGTTTTTCAAATTATTATTATTTTTAATAAATTCAATGACACCAGCTCGACTTGATGTTACTCTGCGCTAAGGTAATGCGTATAATTACTCATTGCCTTTTTATTATGAATGATTTAAATAAGTAGCTTGCTAAATGCCTTTTTTTATTAAAGTTTTTTTCGTGTAAAATTATTTTATTCTGAGAAAATACCTTACAGCCAATTAAGCGATGATTCTAAATAAAACTGATATTTTACCATGCTATTTTAGTTAGGTTTATGGTTAAACGAATTAAACGTAAAATACAACACTGTACCCCTGTACTACGGGTGTTAAGGATAAAGGGAACTTAGGTTTAAGAAAAGCCGAATACCTATCTACTTCTGTTTGACTTAAAATTTATCGTTACATTTAAATAAAACGAGCGTCGAGATTTTCTAGTGAGGTATGTCTTTTTTATTTAAATCCAGTGTCCTTACTTTGTGAATGGGTTACTTTATTCCTTAAAGACGTCACAATGTCTGTGAGGCTCAAAACATTTTCGCTGGATTAAACTTCATAGAGAGATAAAGCAAACAATGTAATAGAGTCTCATTGAATCTTTCACGTGTACAATGAGAAACTCTAAACGGATAAGAACTCCAAAATACTTTGAAAATCAGCGAGCGGAAAGACCACCTCAGACGCCGGTCACTTCAATCAGTTCAAATGTTCGTTTAAACG